AGGTTTAATGTGGCACAGAGGGGATGGAAGTGAGGTAAACTTTTGGAATGATAGATGGATTCCTCTTCCCCCAAATTTGGTTATTGAAACCCCAAAGCCCTAGGATTGCTTTTCGGAGCTGGTTGCTGATTTCATTAAAGCGTCCCCCAAGGAATGGAACACTTCTAACCTAGCCTCAGTTGTCTCGAGAAAAGAACTCAAGGCAGTTGGTGTTATCCCTTTGTCCATAAATGGTGAGAAAGATAGGAGAGTCTGGTGGTTATTATTAAGTCTGGGTACATGCTAGGTTGCAAAACTGCTTTGGAACTGCATGCAGTTAGCACCTCTGCTTCCCTTCACCCGAAGTTATGGATGTCAATTTGGAATATGAAGGCAGTCCCTAAAGTCAGATATTTTTGCTGGAAATCTTGCCAAAATATCTTGCTACTCAAGAAAACCTGTTCAAGAAAAAGTGTGCTACTTCGCCCATTTGTAGGATTTGTGAGTTAGTCCCTAAATCAATCGAACACACCTTGTTTGAGTACGAATGGACTAAAAGAGTCTGGTTTTGTATGAATCTTGAGTTTGTGGGGGATGTTACCTCTTTTATTTCAATTGTTGAAAGAACATCTGCACTTCTTTCGCTGATAAAGGAGGCAAAGAGCAGGCTGGATATCTTGGGGGAAGGTAGCCACAGTGAACTGGATCATTTAGAAGGCAAGAAACCAATTCATTTTTAATTCGGAAGTGACCAATGCTTACGCTGCAGTTATACGGGCTCAAGCTATGTGGTGTGATCAGTGCAATAAAGTCAAAGAAACGCCAACAAGGGATCAACAGGTTTTGTAGAGGAGGGATAATTGTTTTCAGGATGATGGTGAAGGAGTTTGTATTTTTTGTGATGTTGCTTTCTCTCAAGGAGCGAGTAAAGCAGCATGTGGTTCTATTTTATGCACTGAAAGGGTCTTGTTTGAGTTTGGCAGTGCAAAGGCTTTGAATGCATTCTCGCCTTTGGCAGAAGCAGTGAGGCAGGCTTGCCTTCTTGTGGATGCTTTGTTAATTTCAAATGCAACAATCCTAAATGACTACCTAAACATCATCAATCTCAGCACTAACGAGAATGTTCCCCCATGGGAAATCAAGGTAATTATTTAAGATATTTATACACTATGCTAGGTTATATAACCTTAACTTCCTACACAAGTCAAGGGCCCTTAATAGGGTTGTTCATAAAGTGGCAACTAACATGCTAAATAATTCGCTCCTGTCAAATTGGCTTGATACCTCCCCCCCCCCCCCCCTTATGGCTTTTTTGTTAACTGATTGTGACTTCAATTTTCCGACTTAATGAAATTTTGTCCAGCTTTGCACTTGATCCAAAAAAAAGTCAAAAAAAAATATTTTTAACATAAAATATTTACTTATCGAATCAATTGCGTTGTGTCGTATATTTCACATTTACGATAATTTATACAATACTATTTACTATTTTGTAAAAATACCTATTTTTGCCTACAGTACTCATTAAATAACTATTTTTTGTCTGCAGTTGTGTTATTCATATCTAATTTTAATTTGATCGAACAATCAAAAAATCATATCTAATTTTAATTTGATTGAACAGTTAAAACATTTGTGTCTAATTGTAGATAGAAAATAGCTATTTAACAAGTATTGTAAGCAAAAACTAGATATTTTGTAATTTTTTTAAAATTTTAAAAGTATTTTTTTATTAACTCGAACATGACACGAAATATTATGACACGATAAAATTGAGAGTTATTTAACGAGCATTAAAAAATTCTTTTTAGATAATTAATATAAAATATTTAAACTTTAAGGGTGTAATTTATAATTAGTCTAAATTTTTTTAACGTCAAACTAGATGACAATTAATTTCAAGTGCATATTGATATTAATTTATATATTTGGGGGTATAAATTGATATTTTTAAATTTTTAATGTACAAAATAAGATTTAAGTGATCTTCGAGAATTTAAGTTGAGATTAACCTTAAATAGGATGAATATACCAAAAAATTATTTGGTAGAATTACACCTAGACCCCCTTAAGTTTGTCACTTAATCACTTAGATCATCTGACATTTGAAATATAATACACAAACCCCCTGAGATTTATATGCGCGTAACACTTAGACCCCTGATGTAAATATATCATTTAATAAAGTACAGTTAGACTCCTCTAAAGTTTGTAAGTATATAATACTTAGACCCCTTAAGTTTAAAATATTATACTTATACCAACAATACTCCAATCAAAGATAAAATATCAAATATTTTAAATTTTACAACCAAAATTCACGATCTATTGTATCATTTATTGAAATAAAATCAAAAATAAAAGTTTATTTTAAAAAAAAAATCATAATTAGTTTATAATTATATTGTCTATTAGAATTTAATTTGGTCGTTTAAACAACCAAATTAAATACCAAACTATCCCAATTATAGCTAAAAGATATTGTGTCAATTACAGTTTGACCCCTTGTTTAATTTTTTAGTTTTATTCTAATAGATAGTATAATTATATATTAACTATGGTTTTTTTTTTAAAATAAACTTTTATTTTTGATTTTATTTCAATAAATGAAATAATATAACATGAATTTTAGATGTAAAATTCATGTTCTAGTATGAACTTAGACCCCTTATTTGATTTTTTAGTTTTATTCTAATAGATAGTATAATTGTATACTAATAACGATTTTTTAAGAAAAAAATAAATTTTTAATTTTAATTTTATTTCAATAAATGATATAATAGAACATGAATTTTCGTTACAAAATTTAAAATATTTGATATTCTATATTTGGTTGAAATATTTTTTGTCTAAGTATAATATTTTAAACTTAAGGGATCTAAGTATTATATATTTACAAATTTCATAAGAGTCTAAGTGTAATTTATTAAATTATATATATTTATAGAAGCAGACTAAGTGTTATGAACGTATAAATTTTAGGGGGTTTATGTGTGATATTTTAAATATCAAGGGGTCTGAGTAATTAAGTGATAAAACTCAAGAGATGTATCTGTAATTCTCCCAAATTATTTTTTAGATACCTTAATCAACTCCTAATCTACCCAATCAAACCAAGCTTTCATGTCCTAAACTACAATTTGCACACTTGGAAAGAGCAATAACCACAAAACTTCTTGTCTGTTCAGTAGCAACTGAAAAGAGTAGCGAAAAAAAAACTCCAACTGGAAAGCTCCAAAAATGAAAGTCAACACTAACCTGATTTTCCTTATCTTTCTGATATTTTTGCTCTTTCTTGTTCAGTGTTCTGTTGAAGGCTTCAATGAAACGGAGGAAGAAGTTCAAAGATCACAATTTCCAAATGGGTTCCTCTTTGGAGCAGCCACTTCTTCATACCAAGTTTGTCTTCTCTGCTTTCTCTTGTTCTTTCTTTTTACTTGTTTCTGTACTGTTGTGGGTTCAGATTCATACCCATTTTGCAGATTGAAGGAGCTTATCTCGAAGCTGGTAAAGGTCTCAGCAACTGGGATTTTTTCTGTCGTATCCAAGGTCATAAAATCATCCAAATGTTCCCAACATTCCCATATTTCTCTCAATGGTAGAATCAATTAGACCCATTAGAGATATTGTTTGAATTTTGAGCATTTGGTGATTCTTTTCCAGGTAGCATAAGAAATGGTGAAAATGGAGATGTTGCTGATGATCATTACCATCGTTACTTGGTATTACTATCAGCTCTATGTCAATTCTAATTAATATTTCGTTTAATCTTGAAGGAAAAGTGAAAGCAAAGATTTCAGGTTGTATCTTTTATGATTAATCACCACAGGAGGATATTGACATAATGCATTCTCTAGGAGTAAAGGCGTACCGGTTCTCAGTTTCATGGGCCAGAGTCTTACCCAGTATGCTTATTTTCTATTTTTTTCACTTATTTCTTTTTAAAATCTCTTAGTTCATGTCAATCATCTTGTTGGGTTTTTTCAGGAGGAGTTTATGGTGGAGTTAATCCAGATGGAATCAGGTTCTACAACAGAATTATAGATAGCCTGTTACAAAAAGGTGCTATGCAAAGCATAAACCCATTTTTTTTATTAGTTCTTGGAAATTATGTTCTTGACATAGTATAGGTATGTAGTGCAGGAATTGAGCCATTTGTGACCATTCACCATCACGACTACCCACAAGAACTCGAGGATAAATATGGGGCTTGGCTCAATCCTCTAATGCAGTATGCCCAATTTCATTCTACTTTCATTTTGCGAAAAAAGTAAATAAGTTTTCACCAGCCTGCCATGTATTTTTGTAGGGAAGATTTTGTCCATTTGGCAGAAACTTGTTTTAACAGCTTTGGTGATAGAGTGAAGTATTGGATGACAATCAATGAGCCCAACCTGTTTGCTGAAATGGCCTATGAGAGAGGATGGTATCCACCGGCTCGTTGTTCGGCACCTTTTGGCAACTGTTCTGCGGGCAATTCCGATGTGGAGCCTCTTACTGCGATGCACAACATGTTATTGGCACATGGCAAGGCTGCCAAGCTATTCCATGAGCGGTTTCAGGCAATCAATTAACCTTTAAGTCTCAATGGTTTTCATGAAATTTAAGTCTACATTGATCTTTACTTTAGCATATATTGATGCAGCCTAAAGAAGGTGGATTTGTAGGCATTGTTGTACACATGTTTATGTTTGAGCCATTGACCGATAGTCAGTTTGATCGAGAAGCTGCAAATAGGGCCATGGCTTTTAATGTGGCCTGGTAAGTGGTTTGGTTTATTCCAACCAAGAATTTTAGCATTAACATAAAGATTGTTTGATGTTGAGTGCTTTGTCAATTTGGTTTTGATATTTATTGTCATCTACTGACTTATTGGATGATTAATATCTCATTTGGAGCAATAGAGAAATGAGTGCCATTTCCATGACTATTAGGGCCAAAAAAAAATTAATTATTGCATTGTTAATTTCTTGTTAAACAGGACTTTAGATCCCCTGGTATACGGAGATTATCCTCCAGAAATGCGTCGTTATCACGGTAGTGAACTACCTAAATTTTCCTCGGAGGAAAAAGAGTTGCTAAAAGGTAGTATTGATTTTATTGGAATTAACCATTATTCAGCTATATATGCGAAAGACTGTCTGCATAGTAGCTGCAGCCAAGATGCGGATCGTGCCGTCCGTGGCTTTGTGTATCTTACCGGAGAGCGAGATGGGGTTTCTATTGGGGAACCAGTATGAAATTATGATCCTTGTTTAGTTTAGAATTCTTTTCGGTTCCACATTATATATCTTCTAAATTTACTACTCCTGTTTCCATCAGACAGCAATGCCAAGATTTTATGTAGTTCCAAGAGGCATGGAAGAGATTGTTGACTATGTTAAGAAGAGATACCATAACAAGCCTATGTTTGTGACTGAAAATGGTGAGTAAATGTATGTTAAATAGGTCCCTAAAATGGTTATTTTAGGTAAAGTATGGATATATCTGAGTCTTACCTAATTAGCTAACAGGTAACTTTGCTGCTAAAGAAATAGTTTGAGCACTCTACGTTTTGCTGGTGAACAAGGAAATTATCAAATGATTTGGAAGAAAAACGTACTGTTTTTTCCACTACCATTGCATAAACCCGAAATTTTTACTATTTCATCGCTAATTTTCAAGCAATTATACCTTGTTTACTGTGATGTCTAGCTTAATGATTTACCGTTGTTTAAATGAAAACCTGGTTTAAACTCATGCTTTTCAGTGTAAAACCATGTTAGTTTACACTTTAAAACAATTTTTTTATGTAAACAATGGTGAATTGGAAAATAAGGTGTAAAGAAACTACTATAAAAATGGAATGAAGTTTAAAAAAAATGGTTTAAACTTATAGATCAAACACAAATCACCAGCTTTATAATCAACCTGCATACATAGAAACCATACCCCATTATTCATTAAGTTATGTTTTTTCATATATTTTGGAACTTCAATTTTCGACTTGAACTCCAGGATATTCTCCGCCAGAAGAACAAGGGGTACAAGTTCAAGAATTACTGCATGATGTCAAACGAGTTGAATTTCACAAAGCATACCTTGCATCTTTGGCTCGAGCAATAAGGTGACTATGACACTCTTTTTTAGTACTGAAATAAGCATATCAAAGCTATTCATGGCCACGAATTTTGTTCTATGCCCGTTTCTAAAATCAGAGACTTGATATTTGCTTGCATTTGCTAGCAATGGAGCCGATGTTCGTGGCTATTTCGTATGGTCATTGATGGATGACTTTGAATGGACTAGCGGTTACAGCATAAGATTCGGACTTCATTACGTTGATCGCCAGACATTAAATCGGATGCCCAAGCTTTCTGCTAAATGGTATAAAAATTTCCTGACCAACAGTAGCCTCAACAATGAAGGAGCCCAAATTGGAAGCTTATTCAGAGATAATAATCGCATTATGTCTGGATCGAAAGATGAAACATCAGCAATTTGACGATATCTTCGATCATTCATGTTGTATTGTCGTATTAGTCATATGTTTCTTATTGCTACATGGTGTCGTACCAAAACAATTTTTACAACTTTAAATCTGAATTTTTGGTCGATTTTGACCATAAATTAAATTAAAGTGGGAACTTCTCATTGTTTCGAGTAAACTTTTGTTTTATTCTGTGAAGAAAATAACATATTATATTCATTTGCTTAAATTAATTAAAAATATAAATGAGAAAAGAGATTCTAAAGTGACGTACTTACATTGTGGAACTAGAGGTTGTGCAATGTGGGTTTGACATCAATCTCACATTAGCTGAGTAAAAAATTCTATTTGTGTATATATATGTCAAATTTGCTTTATGCGTGGGGCTTTAAGGGATATTATATTTTTGTGAGTAGAGCGAGTACCTATATAGGCTTCGGTTTGACTTGCCCCGACTAGGCTCAGGAACGAGTATGGGTGTGATTTAGACCCATCCTTATCTTTTTAGAGTATATGCTGGATTTAATATTTGCATTGGTTTGAATTTTCATTTTATAGGTTGTAGGTGTCTTCTGGGTCGTGTCTGACATATAGTGATTGTTCGGATCAGTCACTATTCTGTCTATAAATAACTCAGACTCATTATTATTTTGCATCAGTTACATTGCGAATTAAGACAATGATTAGCATTCATAGTTTACATTACGAATTAAGTAGACTGCTTATCTGAGAGTATATAACACAATTTCTGATTAGTTGGACAATTAAATTGGAATTCTATTTTCAATTGTGTAAAGATCATTAAATTTTGGGAGACAAACGCTTTGATTTCATAATCACCAGGTGTGAGAGAAATCTATCTTAAATACATAATGGCAAACATTAGCTTGATCAACATAAAATTTAGTAATAGTTCTTAATTTGCAAACGAGTTAGTTTATATAAATTGTTTAATTACAAATTTATGTGCTATTGTTTTGTTTTTATTTGTTACTATTTTGTTCTTAATTATTACTGTTTTCTAAGTTACACGATTTAAATCAAAATTTTCAATAAGTAATTTTATTATATTTAAAAAACTCAAGCAAAACAGGGCAGTTATGATGTATATGTGTTTGTATGTTTCTCTGGAAAAATCAACGAAAGATGAGCTAGTAAAGTGGTTCCTCAAAAACTTTCCCATCAGAATTTGCATATTTTGAATGCTCAACAAAGTTGGAACACATAGTCCTCGAGAGAAGAAGCTCACCATTTATGTAAACAAGAGAGTAAAGGAAATAGAAGAGAATCACCACCCCCTGCGGGGTGGTGGTGTTGCTGAGTTGGGGGAAGAACAATTTCAAGTGAATGTCTGTAGTTACTTAAAATTGTCGCTCAATTGACAATAGATCTCAATATTATTTGAAACTCATTTTTTATTAAAAAATTATGATGCATTAAATCAACAAATTAAGTTTAAACCAAATTATTATTCACAATATAATCACAAAGACATGACAACTCAATATTAAGGAACTATAATTGTGATTTTATACCATATTTTTAAAATAATTTTTCATGAAATTTTTAGCGAACGTTAATTATTGGGAGTGATTGGACACTAATAATTATAATTGAATATGCATGATGAGAAACACAATAGTTGAGAGGTTAAAAATAGCACAAATCTCATAATTTGACGGGATATAGTGTAATTAACCTTTGAAATCGAAAGGATCAGCCTCCAATGAAGAACATGTGAATGCCTAGCGCCGGAGGTCCCACTGGCTATTGCATTAAATGTTGTTGTTCGCCTTACTGCTACAGTACAACTTGCAAATTGGAACAGATCAATAACCACAAAAATTCCTTTTCTGTTTAATCCCAACTGATAAGCTCCAAAATGAAAGTCATCACTAACCTGATTTTCATTTTCTTGCTGATACTCTTACTCTTTCTTGGTCAGTCTTCTGTTGAAGGCTTCAATGAAGCAGAGGAAGAAGTTCAAAGATCACAATTTCCAAATGGGTTTCTCTTTGGAGCAGCCACTTCTTCATACCAAGTTTGTCTTCTCTGCTTTCTCTTGTTATTTCTTCTTAGTTGTTTCTGTACTTTTGTGGGTTCAGATTCATACCCATTTTTGCAGATTGAAGGAGCCTATCTCGAAGCTGGTAAAGGTCTCAGCAACTAGGATTTTTTCTGTCGTATCCAAGGTCATAAAATCATCCGAGTCCCCTACATTCCCATATTTCTCTCAATGGTAGAATCAATTAGACCCATTAGAGATTGCTTGGATTTTGTGCATTTGGTGATGTTTTTCCAGGTAGCATAAGAAACGGTGACAATGGAGATGTAGCTGATGATCATTACCATCGTTACTTGATATTACTATCAGCCCTATGTCAATTCTAATTAATTGTTCGTTTAATTTTTGAAGGAAAAGATTTCAGGTTGTATCTTTTCTGATTAATCACCATAGGAGGATATTGACATAATGCATTCTCTGGGGGTAAAGGCATACCGGTTCTCAATTTCATGGGCCAGAGTCTTACCCAGTATGCTTATTTTCTATTTTTTTCACTTTTTTTTTTGCCAAATCTCTTAGTTAATGTCAATTATCTTGTTGGGTTTTACCAGGAGGAGCATATGGGGGAATTAATCCAGATGGAATCAGGTTCTACAACACAATTATAGATAGTCTATTACAAAAAGGAGCTATGAAAAACATAAACTCATTTTTTATTTTTTATTAGTTCTTGGAAATTATGTTCTTGACATAGTATAGGTATGTAGTGCAGGAATTGAGCCATTTGTGACCATTCACCATCACGACTACCCATAAGAACTCGAGGATAAATATGGGGCTTGGCTTAATCCTCTAATTCAGTATGCCCAATNATAAGAACTCGAGAATAAATATGGGGCTTGGCTTAATCCTCTAATTCAGTATGCCCAATTTCATTATACTTTCATTTTTCAAGATAAGTAAATAAGTTTACACCAGCCAGCCATGTATTTTTGTAGGGAAGATTTTGTCCATTTGGCAGAAACTTGTTTTAAAAGCTTTGGTGATAGAGTGAAGTATTGGATGACAATCAGTAAGCCCAACCTGTTTGCTGAAACGGCCTATGAGAGAGGATGGTATCCACCAGCTCATTGTTCTCCGCCTTTTGGCAGCTGTTCTGTGGGCAATTCCGACGTGGAGCCTCTTACTGCAGTGAACAACATGTTATTGGCACATGCCAAGGCTGCCAAGCTATACCGTGAGCGGTTTCAGGCAATCAATTAACCTTTTAAAGCTCAATGGTTTTCATGAAATTTAAGTCTACAATGATCTTTACTTTAGAAAATATGTTGATGTAGCCTAAAGAAGGTGGATTTATAGGCATTGTTGCACACATGTTTATGTTCAAGCCATTGACAGATAGTCAGTTTGATCGAGAAGCTGCAAATAGGGCCATGGCTTTTAATGTGGCCTGGTAAGTGGTTTTATTTAATTTCAACCAAGAATTTATTCATCACCATAAAGAATAATAGTGGACGTTGAAAGATAACTACCATAACCTTAGGAAAAATTGTTTGTTGTTGAGTGCTTTGTCAATTTGGTTTTGATATTTATTGTCATCTACTGACTTATTGGATGATTAATATCTCATTTGGAGCAATAGAGAAATGAACGTCATTTCTAGGACTATTAGGGCCATAAAAAAATTGATTATGGCATTGTTAATTTCTTGTTAAACAGGACTTTAGATCCCCTGGTATATGGAGATTATCCTCCAGAAATGTGTCGTTATCACGGGAGTGAATTACCTAAATTCTCCTTAGAGGAAAAAGAGTTGCTAAAAGGTAGTATTGATTTTATTGGAATTAATCATTATTCAGCTTTATATGCAAAAGACTGCCTGCATAGTAGCTGCAGCCAAGGTACGGATCGTGCCATCCGTGGCTTTGTGTATCTTACCGGAGAGCGAGATGGGATTTCTATTGGAGAACCAGTATGAAATTATGATTCTTGTGTGGTTTAAAATTCTTTTAGGTTCCACTTTTTATTCCTTCTAAATTTGCTACTCTTGTTTCCGTCGATCAGACAGGACTCTCAATATTTTATGTAGTTCCAAGAGGCATGGTGGAGATCGTTGACTATGTTAAGAAGAGATATCATAACAAGCCTATGTTTGTGACTGAAAATGGTGAGTAAATGTCTGTTATATTGGTCCCTAAAATGGTAGTTGTAGGTGAAGTATGGATATGTCTGTGTCTTAACTAATTAGCTAACATGAACTTTGCTGCTAAAGAAATAGTTTTCTGTGAGCACTCTAAATTTTGCTGGTGAAGAAGAAAATATCAAATGATTTGGAATAACTGTCCCAAGCACCAGATTTAGCCAGAACATACTGTTTTTTCCAGTAGCATTGCAGTTTGTATGTCTCATAACCCCGAATTTTTTACTATTTCATCACTAATTTTTGAACTTTATAGCTTCTTTACTGTGATATCTAGCTTAAAGATTTACCATTGTTTAAATGAAAGCCTGGTTTATACTCATGCTTGTCAATGTAAAACCACGTTAGTTTAAATTTTAAACCAGTTTTTTCATGTAAGCAATGGTAAATTGAAAACTAATGTGGAAAGAAACTACTATAAAGAATGGAATAAAGTTACAAAAACAATGGTAACATAGGTAATTGGTTTCATTACTTCCTTACCCCCTGGGGTCGTGCTTTATAATCAAACTGCATACATAGAAATCGAGTTCGATTTCTGAAAGAGCATACCCCATTATCCATCAAGTGATATTTGTCATATATTTGGAACTTTAATTATTTTGTACTTGAACGCCAGGATATTCTCCACCAGAAGAACAAGGGATAAAAGTTCAAGAATTACTGCATGATGTCAAACGAGTTGAATATCACAAAGCATACCTTGCTGCTTTGGCTCGAGCAATAAGGTGGCTATGTCACTTTTTTTTTTTTTACTACTGAAAAATGCATATCAAAGCTAAATCATGGCCATGAATTTCATTCTAGGACCGTTCATAAATCACAGACTTGACAATTTGTTTTACTGAAGATATATATATGTGCTTGCATTTGCTAGGAATGGAGCTGATGTTCGTGGCTATTTCGTATGGTCATTGATGGATAACTTTGAATGGATTAATGGTTACAGCTTACGTTTCGGACTTCATTACGTTGATCGCCAGACATTAAATCGGATGCCAAAGCTTTCTGCTAAATGGTATAAAAATTTCCTGACCAACAGTAGCCTCAACAATGAAGAAGCCAAAATTGGAAGCTCATTCAGAGATAATAATCGCATTATGTCTGGATCGAAAGATGAAACATCAGCAATATAACGATATCTTTGATCATTTATGTTGTATTTGTCATCTTGGTTAATAACGAAAGTAGCTTTCTTATTGCTACATGTCAGTTATGATGTATGTTTATTTGCAAGTTTCTCTCGAAAAATCAACCGAAGTTGAGCTAGTAAAGTGGTTTGTCATAGACTTTGTCAAAGTTGGAACAAGTCCTCGAGAGAAGCTCCCCAGTATGTAAACAAGAGAGTACAGAAAATAAGGGAGAATTACCGCCCCGTCAGAGGGGCTGGTGGTGAGGGTGTTAATTGAGTCCAATTTTTGCATCTTGAACTCGTGTTTATCGAGCTCATTTTTTTAAATAAATTTTAAAAAATTGTTTAAGTTTGATTTGTTTAGAACTTAAGCTGAGCTTGAGCTCTAGCTGAATCTTAGCCGAGCCCAAATTGTTCGATTCTTGTATATATAACAAAGTCAAGGTTTGTAAGTTTGAATTGATTCTTTTAGGTACATTTAAAAAAAAGAGTTTAAAAAAATGTTCAAATTAATTCCTTTAAAATACGAGTTGAATTCGAATCAAGTTTTATCCGAACTTGAATAGTTCATCTCGATTAACACTCTTACAAATAGCCGTGGATATTGGCTCGAGAGGGAGAGAGAGAAAAACTTTAAGGGGGTGTTTGGCCATGGATTGGTTTGAATTTAAATCATAAATCTATCCAAATGAGCCGGCTACAATGTTCGGATTAAAAAATTAGATTTATCCGTCCCTTAATTTAGAAAGTAATTTATTATATTGTGGACCCCATAGACAAACCAATTTATTTTTTGATCAAATCTCATAATTTTAACATTAATTTACTATCTTACCCTTAAATCTTATCCAAACTTATCTCATATTTGACTTGACAATTCTTGATTACCGTTTTAATATTGANACGTTTGTGACTGAAAATGGTGAGTAAATGTCTGTTATATTGGTCCCTAAAATTGTAGTTGTAGGTGAAGTATGGATATGTCTGTGTCTTAACTAATTAGCTAACATGAACTTTGCTGCTAAAGAAATAGTTTTCTGTGAGCACTCTAAATTTTGCTGGTGAAGAAGAAAATATCAAATGATTTGGAATAACTGTCCCAAGCACCAGATTTAGCCAGAACATACTGTTTTTTCCAGTAGCATTGCAGTTTGTATGTCTCATAACCCCGAATTTTTTACTATTTCATCACTAATTTTTGAACTTTATAGCTTCTTTACTGTGATATCTAGCTTAAAGATTTACCATTGTTTAAATGAAAGCCTGGTTTATACTCATGCTTGTCAATGTAAAACCACGTTAGTTTAAATTTTAAACCAGTTTTTTCATGTAAGCAATGGTAAATTGAAAACTAATGTGGAAAGAAACTACTATAAAGAATGGAATAAAGTTACAAAAACAATGGTAACATAGGTAATTGGTTTCATTACTTCCTTACCCCCTGGGGTCGTGCTTTATAATCAAACTGCATACATAGAAATCGAGTTCGATTTCTGAAAGAGCATACCCCATTATCCATCAAGTGATATTTGTCATATATTTGGAACTTTAATTATTTTGTACTTGAACGCCAGGATATTCTCCACCAGAAGAACAAGGGATAAAAGTTCAAGAATTACTGCATGATGTCAAACGAGTTGAATATCACAAAGCATACCTTGCTTCTTTGGCTTGAGCAATAAGGTGGCTATGTCACTTTTTTTTTTTTTACTACTGAAAAATGCATATCAAAGCTAAATCATGGCCATGAATTTCATTCTAGGACCGTTCATAAATCACAGACTTGACAATTTGTTTTACTGAAGATATATATATGTGCTTGCATTTGCTAGGAATGGAGCTGATGTTCGTGGCTATTTCGTATGGTCATTGATGGATAACTTTGAATGGATTAATGGTTACAGCTTACGTTTCGGACTTCATTACGTTGATCGCCAGACATTAAATCGGATGCCAAAGCTTTCTGCTAAATGGTATAAAAATTTCCTGACCAACAGTAGCCTCAACAATGAAGAAGCCAAAATTGGAAGCTCATTCAGAGATAATAATCGCATTATGTCTGGATCGAAAGATGAAACATCAGCAATATAACGATATCTTTGATCATTTATGTTGTATTTGTCATCTTGGTTAATAACGAAAGTAGATTTCTTATTGCTACATGTCAGTTATGATGTATGTTTATTTGCAAGTTTCTCTCGAAAAATCAACCGAAGTTGAGCTAGTAAGGTGGTTTGTCATAGACTTTGTCAAAGTTGGAACAAGTCCTCGAGAGAAGCTCCCCAGTATGTAAACAAGAGAGTACAGAAAATAAGGGAGAATTACCGCCCCGTCAGAGGGGCTGGTGGTGAGGGTGTTAATTGAGTCCAATTTTTGCATCTTGAACTCGTGTTTATCGAGCTCATTTTTTTAAATAAATTTTAAAAAATTGTTTAAGTTTGATTTGTTTAGAACTTAAGCTGAGCTTGAGCTCTAGCTGAATCTTAGCCGAGCCCAAATTGTTCGATTCTTGTATATATAACAAAGTCAAGGTTTGTAAGTTTGAATTGATTCTTTTAGGTACATTTAAAAAAAAGAGTTTAAAAAAATGTTCAAATTAATTCCTTTAAAATACGAGTTGAATTCGAATCAAGTTTTATCCGAACTTGAATAGTTCATCTCGATTAACACTCTTACAAATAGCCGTGGATATTGGCTCGAGAGGGAGAGAGAGNACTTACCGCCCCGTCAGAGGGGCTGGTGGTGAGGGTGTTAATTGAGTCCAATTTTTGCATCTTGAACCCGTGTTTATCGAGCTCATTTTTTTAAATAAATTTTAAAAAATTGTTTAAGTTTGATTTGTTTAGAACTTAAGTTGAGCTTGAGCTCTAGCTGAATCTTAGCCGAGCCCAAATTGTTCGATTCTTGTATATATAACAAAGTCAAGATTTGTAAGTTTGAATTGAGTCTTTTAGGTGCATTTAAAAAAACGAGTTTAAAAAAATGTTCAAATTAATTCATTTAGAATACGAGTTGAATTCGAATCAAGTTTTATCCGAACTTTAATAGTTCGTCTCGATTAACACTCTTACAAATAGCCGTGGATATTGGCTCGAGAGGGAGAGAGAGAAAAACTTTAAGGGGGTGTTTGGCCATGGATTGGTTTGAATTTAAATCATAAATCTATCCAATTGAGCCGGCTACAATGTTCGGATTAAAAAATTAGATTTATCCGTCCCTTAATTTAGAAAGTAATTTATTATATTGTGGACCCCATAGACAAACCAATTTATTTTTTGATCAAATCTCATAATTTTAACATTAATTTACTATCTTACCCTTAAATCTTATCCAAACTTATCTCATATTTGACTTGACAATTCTTGGTTACCGTTTTAATATTGAATCAAAAACTTATAACTAGTTAGTTATTGTAAAAATAAATTTTTGTGCATTCCACTGGAAACAAATTTTAAAAAATCGATCACAAATATATTTGATCGACCACAAAATCAACCGTAAGTTTTTTTTGTTGTTAAGCAAGTAACTCTGAGGTTTCTTTCCTACTCTCGATGCCTGCTTACATACTTCCTCCTCCCCTTTTCCTTCCTCTTTATGTCTGTGTAATACAACACCAGAAACCAAACACAATCATAAAATATTAAAAACGTAGGGCAAATTGAAGGCTTTTTATATCTTTCATTTTAATTCAATTACCCTATTTGCATTTGAAACCCAAACTGGGCATGGATTCTCCAATGCATCTTCAAAGGCATTACAATTTCCTTCTCTTTCAAGCGTTTTTTGTGTTATAACCAACTTTGGTGGATGAATGGGATCTTTTAATGGTTCGAATATGGGAGATTGATATTTCAATATCCTCTTTATCAGTTTTTCTCCTAATTATTGGCGCTTTTAGATAAAGAATCCATAAGCTCAATCAAATTGAAAAGACAGGAAAATCAAACCGGACTTCGGCTAAAAGGGTATCTCTCTTTTCCTTTGCTGTCTGCAATTTCGTCTTCTAAGAAACAAATTCCTGTAAAACAGTTAGAGCAAAAATAATTAATAGGTGCCTTGGTAAATAACCGACAGAGGCATAGAACAGAGAGATAGAGGCAGGGAGTGAGATATTGAATAACCCAAAACACAGAAACAGATGCAAAAGATTAGAGACAAAAATATATTATTTATTTGCGATATATATATACTAGTTATTTTTCGTATCTGAAGACACATAGTAATAAAAAAAATAATCATTAATAAATATATTTGTATTCACATCCAAAATCAAATCACAAATATAAAGAAGATATACAAAATTTAAATACTGATTATAATGGAGGTGAACAGTGTTAGTGATTGTGGGCGACAGTGGTGCTGGTTGTGGTGGATGACGACAACCGTGGTGATGGTGGCAACAATGGGTGATAACGGTGATGGTGGTGGTGAGTTTTGGGTGATGATGATGGTAGTGATAGCCGTGAATGATGGCGGTGCCAGGTGAGGGTGGTGGTGGACAACGATAATGGTGGTTGGCAGTGGTGGTGGTGGTGGGACGATGACGTTGGTGGTGGGCGGTGACGAAAGTGATGGTGGGCGATGATGAGTGTTTCTAGGCGACAGTGTGATGAGTCGTGGCGAATGGTGGAGGTGGCAAGTGTTGTAGGATAGGTGACAATGGGTGACTGCAGTGGTAGGCGATGGCGGGTGGTGGTAATAGGTGTGGTGGGGATGGGTGATAGTGGCTTGTGGCGATAGTGGGAGATGACGGGTGGCAGTGGGTTGGGATAGCGAGTGGTGATGGGCAATAATGGTAGTGGTGAGTGGTTACGGTGCGTGACAGTAATAATAAGATGATGATGGTAATGATAATAAATATAAAAATAAGATAACGATGGTAGTGGGTGGTGGTAGTGGACGATGATGGTAACAATCAGTGATGGGTGGCGGGGGGGTAGTTTTGATGGTCGTGGGGGTGGTGGTGAGACAATGGTGGTAGTGATAATGATGGTGGTGGAGCAATGATGATAGTGGTGATGGTGGTGGTGAGCCGATGGAGGAGGTGATGGTGATGGTGATGGTGATGGTAATGGTGATAATGGTGGTAGGGTAGTGGCAACGGTGGGTGTGATAGAGCGGCGATAGTGGTAGCGACAGCGACAATGGCGGTGGTGGCAGTAGGGGTGGTAGTGGAAGAGATAGTGGTGGAGCGGTTTCAAAGACTAATTTTTTAAAAAAAATACTTATGAAAAATAATATCTATAAATATTTTTAAAAAATTATTCTAAACACACCCTTATGGGCATATTTTTCTTATTAATTTTGGGATTTTAATATTATCTGTCAAATTAACTTTAAAATAAAATTTCAAAAGATCTCAACCACGAATAATAAAAATTATTTTATTTATCTTTTGATATTTGAATTGTATTATACTTTATATATATATGGAGAGAGAAGGACAGAGAGATCAGAACAAAGAGATAGAGACAAGGAGTGAGATACCGAAGAACCCAGAACAGAGAAACAGATCCAAAAGATTAGAGACAAAAATATAGTATTTATTTGTGATATATATATATATATATATATATATATANTTATACTTTATATATATATGGAGAGAGAAGGACAGAGAGATCAGAACAAAGAGATAGAGACAAGGAGTGAGATATCGAAGAACCCAGAACAGAGAAACAGATCCAAAAGATTAGAGACAAAAATATAGTATTTATTTGTGATATATATATATACAGAGAGAGAGAGAGAGAGAGAGAAGGAGTGAGATATTGAAGAACCCAAAACAGAGAAACAGATCCAAAAAATTAGAGACAAAAATACACTATTTATTTGAGATATATATATATTGAGAGAGAGAGAGAGAGAGATCAAACTTTTGCCAATGGGAGTGCGCCGTTCCAAGAGAGGGAACCAATGAAATGGAAGGAAGACATCAAATTAGAAACCCTACCACATGCTTTACACAGGGGTATTTTGATAAATGGAAACCCTCAGCTTCTTCTTAATCCCAAATTTTTGTAGGTTTAATTTAGTGAAAATTGGGTATGAGCCTTTTTGGATAAACTTATAATAACTTAAGTCTGTCAAGAAAACTTATTTGGTGATAAGTCTGTTTTTTTAAGTCCACTATTTTTTTAAACCTCAAAAATACTATTATTTGAAATGAGATTAAATTAATTTCTTATCTTGAAATTTGTTATCACCTAATTCAATATCAATTAAAATATGTCAATAAAATCTCCAACATAAATTTAAAATTCAAATTCAAAACTCCCCTCTCTCTCCAGCCAAATTATTCTCTCTCTTCAACCAGGTCAAACTATTGTTTCATATTATCTATCTATGTTTGTATTTAGATTTGATGGATTCAACGACTTAGCACAAGAAAGCCCTTTGAAAAACTAGTGGATCATTGAATCATTAATTCCCCTTTGTAAAACTAGTGGATCAGGTAGGTAACTTTGAACATTGTTAAAGGTTTTGAAAAAATTAAACTTTGAAATTTTTGTCAAATATTCATTTCCTTTGCACAGAGTGCTTACCCCTAATTTTGTTCAATTTTTCACTATTTTTTTGTTGAGTCTGTTACTGTTTTCTCGTCTATCCACAATCATGTCGATTATGTGTTACACGTTTTTTTAAAATATTATTATTTTTTGGACCTGAATGTTT